TCTTATTCATGCCGCCATTAAAACAAAGCTTGCGCAACACGTGTTCGATGGTCCATGAACTATTGTCGTCTATTAAGTTGCCCCTGTAACAACTAGCCCTGGTCTCCCCTACAGGCTGGTTCAATTTGACTGACTTTGTAACCTCCATAAGAAATTAGGAAATAAATAGGAGAAATTTTAATTTTTTCGTTCTAAAATGACTACAAATTATGAAAACAAATGTTTAGTCTAAATAGCTTAACTTTCATAACATTATACATTTATATATATATTTATTATTTTATTATATGGACCTTTCAGCCATGCCTGGCTAACATTATAGAAGTTGCAATGACACATGCACTCCTGTTACTTTATCAAAGAATATAAAACTGGCCTTTACAAAGTGACCTATTTTGGCTGTGTTTTAGTGGACTAGGATTTTGTAAAATAGCACATTTCAGTTTTAATACATTAGATATGTATATACATTATAACTGTTTAAAATAAGTTCTTGAATTTCTGTTATTTTTCTTAAAACATAAAACAGTAAATAAAGAATTATAGAAAATAATTATATCTTCTAGTTACGAACTTTGAACTCATTTGCTGCTTGCTGTAGGTTGCTAAGCCTAATAACTTTTGCACATGGAGGTTTTGTATATACACTTTTAAATTACCAAAAATCATAAATTACTATATTGGTACTATAGAATTCCACCAGAATTTATCAAGCTTAGTTGATTAAGCTGTATTTGGGTCTAAGAAATATGAACTTTCAAGCTCATTAAAGACTTACCTTATCATTTAAAATTTGCCATGAAAAGAAAGGGTTTTCCAAGTAAATACTTTGCAAAGGCTCAGAGAACCATGTGGGGAACATTCTGAACTTTCGACTGGTTATTCACACATCATAGACAGAAGTAGGTGTACGTAAGCAAGTGTTTTGAAAAATGGAAAGAGGTGGGCAGGGCCACGGTTTGATTCAGGAAATGTAGCGATATCTAAGCAGATAGAACAAATAGGAAGTTCTTATTTTAGATTCTAGCTTGTCAATATCAGTAATTTGAGTTCCTAATTCGTAAGAAGCTATAGACTTTTTATTGTATTTGGACCAATGCTGCATATCTTTTTTAATATTTACTTTTATATTTAATTTTTGCCAATTGTAGTAAAAAGACTACTTATACTTCTTAATAGTATAAAAATATGTTGTGTTGTTGTTGGTTTTAGGATTCTTCTACATTAGGCATCTATGACTTGTTGATGATAAATTCAATGATATGTGAACAGCACGCACATCACTTGTTTTAAAAATAATATATATTTGGAGCAAGTTAAACATATGTACAACAGATTCTTCACATTATAGAGATTATATATCTATCTATCTAGTTCTCTTCTTCTTGTTGAAAGTCCACTTAGACCTATTCAATTACTTTAGAATTTCAGTTGACAAGCCGAACTATCTTGTCTATTACTATCATACTAGTATTCTGTATGTGATTCACTTACAAATAGTGGTGCAAGTTACCCTAATTGTTTGGTCTTCTTTCTTCTGAATGCCCTCTGTTCTTTTTGTCAAGGTGCACTCAGGCTGATTCAATAACTTTAGAACCATGCTTTAATGGAATAAATTATTTTTCTTATTTCCTTTTCTGCTATTAGTCTTGCTCTAACATATTAAACATTAGGCCTATCAATTCTACGGTAGTTAATTTCACACCGAACTATTCCTTGCCCATAACTTTACTCTCTTCTGCTATTGTTTGTCTGCTGTTTTCGCTCGTCTCAAACTATTTATATCTTTATCACTTAATCCTCTGGCCTTCTAAAATTCTCTATATTCTTGATGTCAGTGTATTACAAGTGAGGTTTGATAGTTTCAACATCAATGAATTATAAACATAATTGTCTGCTTTTAACTCTTATTATAGCAAAACTAAACAATAATAAAATATTTACTCACAAAATAAATTAAACAATAATATCTAAACTAAACAGTCTTTTATATCAGGACATAAATTAAGAAATTTGATAAAGGATCATGCTAAATTTGAATTGTAATCTACAATTTGATACCAAACTTATTGACATACATTCATAAAATAGTAGTTGAATAAAATTTTGAATGCGAGCCACCAAGAGCGATATGACATGGCCTTTCACCCGTGACCTGTAGAGATAGGGCTAAGTAAGAATCCATAAAATTATTTATTCTTTTTTTTGTTTCAATTGCAAGAACTTGGTATATTTGACTGTGTGTAAATTGAATCCCAGGAATTACCTGTTATCTCTCAATCCAGGGTCAGTTGATTTGACTGACAACATTACCTCTGTGTACTTGTTTAAAGTTTTTATAGATTTAATACTTCTAACTTTCAATATAGTGTGTATATCTTCACAAAATTTGGCAGTCTTTCAGTTAACATTATAAGTCTTTCCCATACAAAAAATATTTTTT